ATCAGCTCAGTAAGAAGGCACCAGGTTAATAATGCAAACGATGTCAATAATTGTTATAGAAAATTAAGATAAGCTGTCAATTCTAATGAGCAGAACAAATGATAATTTTTTAAATTATTCTTTCTGCTTCATTTTTCAAGGGATGAAGAAATGGAGGAGAGTCTATTTTTCAAAGAAATGCTCCTTTTAAGGGAACTATTTCTTCCATTAAAATGTCTTCAAGGGTGGACTGGCAACACTTTCTTTATCAGCCTAACAGTGATGAGGTACAGGGATTCCCTGGGTACTGAATATCCAATTCAAGGACAACTCCACTTGCCCTTTTAGCAGGCTTTTAAACCAACTTAAATCGAGTTTGTCATGGCTGATGAAACAAATCGGTAACAGACCTGAACTTATGCAATGTAGGTGCTGCTTCTTCCCAGAGACCAGAATAGGAAAAATTAGGAGCCATAACTTTGAAATAAGAGATTCCAAAGAGGTGGCCTGATGCATTAGACTGGATTATCAGCAGGACTGTAGAGAACCACACACATTCATATTGTCACCGTGCAAAAGGGCACCACCCTGATCCCACGATATGTGATTGTGGTACTGCCGTTTCAACTCTGCTCATAGGTTAGAGGCTCTACTTCAATGTTAGCTCAGTTTGCCTCATTTGAAACAACCAAACTAATCGCCCTCCGTTACTGTTAGGCATCCTTGAGTGGCTCTGACTCATCATGACCCTGCAAACAACAGATGGACGCCCTGTCCAATCCTGCAGCATCCTTGGAATCTCTGCTTTGGTTAAGCCTATTGTAGCAGTCCTTATGCAAATCCTGCTGAGCGCTTTCTTCCACCTTTCCAAGCATGATGTCTTTTTCCAAAGACAAGCCCCTCCTTAGTGTATGAGATGAAGTCTCACCATTCTTGCTTCTAAGGATGCAGCCTCACCATCCTTGTTTCTGTGGCTGCACCTTCCCCAGCAAACACCTGTTCAATCTTCTGCCATCCATGGCACACTACTCAGTTTTCTTTGCTGACACCATAATTAAAAGTTTGGTTTTCCTTATTCAATGGTTCAACTTTTTTTTTTATTTTTTTTCAACTTTCACATGCAGAGGAAGCCACTGAAAATGCCACGGCTGGGGTCAGGTACACTTTCAACGGACATCCTTGCTACTTAGCACTTTGAAGAGGTCTTTTGTAGTAGTAGATTGACCCGATGCAGTCTGTCATTTGACTTCTTGACTACTGCTTCCCTGAGTGTTGATTGTGAAGCCAAGTAAAATGATATTTTTGACAACCTGAATTGCTTCTCCCTTCATGATGATGTTGCTTACAGGTCCATTTGTGAAGATTTTCGTTTTCATTATGCTGTGATGTAATCCATACTGAAATCTTTGATCTTCTGCAGTACGTGCAGCCCCTTCACTTTCAAGAAGTAATATGTCACCTGCATATTGCAGGTTGTCAATGAATCTTCCTCCAGTCCTGATGGCCCATTATTCTCCAAATAGTCCAGCTTTTCAGATTATTTGTTCCGTATAAATTGAATAAATATGTTTAAAGCACACGTGCAAACACACAAAGAAAGAGAGATACTCATTGTCGTTGAGTCAGAATTGACTCATAGCTGGCCCTCCATTGGGTTTCAGAAGCTGTAAATCACACTACAGGAGATTGCCTAGCTTTCTCCTATGGAAAGGCTAGTGAATTTGAACATTTTAGTTACCAGCGCAACTCCTTATGTACTGCTACACTACCAGAGCTCCAAAATATAAAATATGCACGTATATGTATGTATATTTTTTCTGTTATACTACATACTTTTATTTTTTTCCTGCTTTTTATAACTTTAAAGTTCCAGAAACCAACTTCATTTACTGTAAAATTTGGAAATCATACAGATATCACAGGTGGTACAGCACTGGTCTGTACGTTGCTGTACAGAGGTAACTCGTGGTTGCTGTGATGCTGAAGACTGTGACAGTGATGTGCCAGTCATGGTAATGGGCACCCATGGTGGACAGTGTTGGCTGGAGCTTCCCGACTAAATCAAGCCTGGAAGCAGGAGCGGCATCCACTTCCGAAATGGCTTGCCTCCAGAAACTCTATGTATGAACAGTACTCAGGCTGTTCATTCATAGGGTCACTATGAGTCGTCTATGACTCAATGGCATCAAACAACAACAACAACATTATAAGTAATAAAAATTATTTAGAAGTACACGTTTCTGTGTATATTTTTTATGCTGGACAATAGCCAAAGATGACAGAAGAAGAATTGATGCCTTTGAGTTGTGGTGCTGGAGAAGAGTCTTGAACGTACTATAGACTGCCAAGAAAACAAATAGGCCTGTTTTGGAGAGGATAAAACCAAGATGCTCCTTGGAGACAAGGATTTTGAAGCTCTGTCTCACATACTTTGGGCATGTTGCCAGGAGAGACCAGTCCTTGGAAGAGGGCATTATGCTTGAAAATGTAGAGGGACAGCACAGGAAAGGATAAGAAGGATTGATACAATAACTGGAATAATGGGAGTAAGTATGTCAGAGGCAAGGAGATTGGCTCAGGATAGAGCAAGGTTCAGAGCTGTTGTGCACAGGCTAACTATGATTAAAAGTCAACTTGATGGCATACAATAACAACAATATAAGATAAAACAAAGACTTACTAACTGAAAAGAAATTTCATATAATTTTTTCAGAAATAGTCTTACCAGAAAGTAACAAAAATCATTGTTATTTGTACTGTTATGTGAGGTACCAGATAGTTTTCCTGTATATCAAAATTTGTGGGAGAAGGATGGGCAATCTCCTCCCTTGCGATTAACTGCCTCTGAAAACCCGCTGGAGGGTCAGCTATGGGTTGGTTCTGACTTGACAGTGCACAACAACAACAATATATCAAAATTACAGCTGTTAGTATTGTAGATCAGCAAAACTTCAAAGCAAGAAAATGTAAATACCTCTGCTAATGATAAGTACTAGTTTTCATCATTTTAAGGAGCTCTGGTAGCACAGAGGACTAAGCACTGTGCTGCTAACAGAAAGGTCTCAGGCTCGGATCCAGTAGCTGCTCTACATGGAAGATGTGGCAGTTGGCTTCCAGAAGGATTTACAGCTTTGGAATCCCTATAGGGTAGTTCTGCTTGCCCTGCAGGGTTGGGTAGCTATGAGTTGGAACCGATTCACTGACAATAGGTTTGTCTTTTGGTATGAAAGTATTCTAAGCATTAATTGTGACATTGTAAATTATGAAATTAGAAGCAGGAGTGGCATCCACTTCCTAAATAACATTCCTCTGGAAACTCTATGAACTTTGATAAATGATGATAGTTATAGAAAGGCTTCAGGTCTTTTAGTCATAGGGTCAATATGAGTCATGTTCGTCTCAACAGCAATCAACAAAAACAACAATCAAAATAATCTAATGTTTTATTATTGACAACGTTGCAAAATGTACACATAGTCCTATCAATTAGTATATTTTCAAAAGAAATAGTCTACCTGTTCCTACTAAAAAAGTGGACATGACTTGAATACTTGAATTCTTAAATCAAGAAGCTACGAAAAGTTCATACTTTCATGTTATGTAGACATTAAGGCAAGAACATGAAATTCTTTCTCCCCTCCAGTGCCATAGCAAATCACTATTAATACTACAGCCTGTTAATATGAAGGAAAGCAGATGTTTCTCTCTACCGTCACGTTCTGAAAAGAAGCAGACAGAAGCTGAGAGTTTTGATAAGCCTAAACGTCAATACTTTGTCAAACTTTCCAGTAATTTCTAGTTGGCAATGTAAAATACTCTGGAAAACAACTGTAATAATTTGATCTGTGTTAAATAATGCTTTTCTTTTAGGGTCCCCTTCTTGTAAACTAAATGAAACACTGAAAGTGTCATAAATGTAGTGATGTAGTGGTCTTAAAATCTACTCAGCTTATCAGCTTATTTAGCTCCTTCTCTCTCTCTTCCTAAATAAATTTCACTCTGTTTACATGTATAAATACACACATCACCATGTTTGCTGTAGAAAACTGGAAAGTGATAGTAATAGCATTTGATTTGTAATTCTTTTCTTTCCAAGGCATCTCTGCTCCACATTATTTCTGAACTTCTTTGTGCTCTAGTCATATTATCTGTAGATTGTCAACAACTTCCCTACTTTACCACTTTGTTGTTATTAATATCAAAGATGATTACAGAGGAAAGTTAGTCAATTGTAGAAAAGTGTTGTTCATTAGAAAAGAAACAGAGCTACATCATTTCCCTACATGTGCAAAGTAACCCAACCATATGAAATCCACCTTCTCCCTAACCAGCTGAAACATACAAGCACTATGGATTCTGGCTGGTGCCCATCAAGTCTTCTTGTAAAAGAAAAATTAACCAAACCCATTTCTCCTTTTACTTCATCTCCTAATTCTGTCAGTTGTAGGCAATTCTGAAAGTGGTACTTAATACGGGGCCATTCTGTAATGTCTGGGAGAGCACATGATCAGTGGCTTCAGCATCATCTGGGGACTTGTTAGGAATGCAGAGCCCCAGCCCTGGCCCAGACCTGCTTGATGGGAAATTCTGGGATGGGGTCCAGCAATTTGTTTTAACAAACTCCAGGAGATTCTGAAACACATAGAAACCTGAAAAATCACTGTGGGTAGCACCATCTGCATACATCTATATATGGCTGATAAGCCTAGATTTCCAGCTACCATCTCTTAACTGTGCGACTCTCCTCCTTAACAACTATTATGCAAGCCCTTCTACACCAAGCATCTGCTCTGAAGTGGTAGATAAGAGTGAAATGAAACCAGGAAATCCTTTTCCCAAAACAGCTGAGCTCTCTGGCTGTGCCAACCCTCCTCTGCCTCCAGAGCAGGGTCAGAGCATGGGACCTTATCTTTCTCCCATCCACCCACCCCCAACCTTCCCCAGGGAGAAGCACTCAGTGGAGAGCAGAGCAAATGTCAAGTGTTGGAGCAAAGGTTTGGACCTCTGTGGGCCCTAATTACCTGAACGAGTGTCATCTGTGAGCCAAGGGCCAAGAGTATCTTCTCCGTCTTGGTGGGGTATGGGTTGTCTCGATGCTTGTAAAGCCACTGCTTGAGGGGTCGCGCCATGTCTTGCAGGGCTTGCCGTTTATGCCTCACCTTCCCGCCATTCTGCCGGGCCCTGAAACATGATTGGAGAAAGAGGCCCTTATCAGTGGCCCTGTCTGGGTGCTGGCCACCAGCACTGTCCATGCCTTAGTGCATTTAAGATGTGACAGTTTCTCCGCTTGGCCCCAAAGGAACTATGGAGCCCGCATCTCCCACCCTAGCCTGGCTGTGTGCCATCTGAGCAAAGGTGGGTGCTATAGTTGAAGCAAAACAAGAGTTGGCTACCACATCATTGCACCTGCTTCTGTGTGTCATTTCCTCCACATCTTTAGTAGTCCTAGGGGTTGTATGATAATGAAGGATATTAGAGTGTCTTTAAAGAGAGAATATTATTAACCCATTTATCCAAAATGAGAGATATAGGAGATGATGAGGTGATTGGAATGAAACTTATTTAAGTTGCAGATGTGAGCTACAGGACCAACTGTCATCCTTCCTTGTCCCCAGTGCCACACCCCTCCATGGCCAGCCCTAGATTCTGTCCCCTCTAGCATTCTTCAAGAAATGCTCACTTGCCACCAGGACTTTCTGTTGGCTGCAGTTAAGGTCGTCCTCTGGATTTCAAGGCTAAAGCAAGAGGAGGGCAGTTCTGCGAAAGGGATAGGGTTTGTGGAGAAAAGATGCAGAACCTAAGAAAACACTTTAGAGATGGTTTCCTGACATGCGGAAGAATTAATGGACAGCTGTAATCCACGGGTGAAGCAGAAAGGATTCAGGGGGAAAGCATACTGAAAGGCCTGGAGACACAAGTAGCACAGGCCTAAGCAAGACAACAGGCACTGCGTTCCCAAGCGGCTCCGGGAGGTGTCGCCTTGCCGCCACCCGCGCTCTCCACACTCCAACAAAGCTCGCGCGCCTGCGCTGCAGCCTCCTGGGTTTATGCCTCTTTAAATACTTTGAAATGCAATTCCATGTGAATGGAATGGTAGTAACATTTTGAGGAAACCTAATCTCTATTTTACTAACCGGCAACGCCGCAGAACAAGCAGCTGATGCAATCTGGAAGGTGGAAATGGCAGGAGCGGCCGCCCCTCCCCCAGAGCGGCGCTCCAGAAGCTGCCAGAGTCTGGCGGGGATGCAGACAGCTCTTCACTCACAGGCAACTCGAGCAACTTGCCCACCCCCGAGTTCCCGTACCCTAGCAGCTCCTTCATCTTGCTAAACTGAAGCACGGCAAGCACGCGCGGCCTCTTTCTCCGGGCTCGCAGCGGGCTCCGCAGCGCCGGGTCCGCGCGCCAAGGGCGCTATGCGGAGAGCTGACCTTGGCCAAGCACACCTGAGCGTGGCGATGTCCAATTCTGAGCTGAAGAGAAGAAGCCCACGGGTCCTGCCCACGTTGATCTGCTCTAGGAATTCCAAATTGCTTAGTCCTCCCCTGTTACACTGTGGGGGTTTCTGCCTCCTTCTATACACCCTGCCCACTACTCTCTGCCTTGCCCTTATCTATTCATTTGCACCCTCAGGTCTACGGAGGATCAAATAATCCTACTTCAGAGGGGATCAGAGGACTTAGGAATAGTTCCTAGTATCCGCTTGCGCTGTTCGGACTAAATGATCACTTCCTATCTCGAAACACTAGTATTATTAAATGCGATGCATGAGAGACCTGCCCTTCCCGCCGGAAAACTCAGGGTCCCTGAACGATTGCCATTTGTACTCTGGTTCCGCTCACCGCCCATCCCTAAGGCTGTAGGTGGACAGAAGGGTTTCCCAGGAAGGCTGCGCATACCCTGTTCTCCGGTGTCTCAGGCCAAGGTTGTCCTTGAGAGGCGGACTGTCGGCAATGCCCACCTCAGGGCGTGCGTGCGAACTGTCCAGGACCCCGCTGTAGGGCCGGCTGCCCCGATCCGGGGCTCCACCGTCCTCAAAAAGCACCGCGCCGCTGAGCTTGTTGAAGACGATGGTGTTCATGATGCGAGCTGGCTACAGTGCACGGCGCGGCCACTGCGCCTCGGGATCAGGCCGCCCAGCTCAGCGGGACTCGGGTTCTGGAAGATGAAGCGCATCACGTTACAAGAGATGGAAAAGCTCAGATCCCTGCAAGTCAGCCGAATGTGGTGCTGGGCTGGAGGGCCCTAGAGGAAAAGCACCCCACCTGGCCAGGGGGCCCACACCTATGGAGCTTGCCACGCTCCCAACACTGATGCACTCCTGGTACCCTTGTTTTGTTGGCAGACTATTCGCGGGGACCCTGCTCCCCTTTTGCCCTCAGAATTGAGTTCCCAAGGGAACCTCAACCAGAAAGAATTTATCATTTATCGGCCTATCAAGAAGGCAGTAATTCACAATTGAGCCTTGGTTATAATCTGGGAGAAACACACTCCCGAGCGGAACCGGATAGGCAGAGAGCAGAGCGCGTGGTTCTTCAATCACAACAGAAAGAGCAAAGCCTCTCAGAGTCCTTCATTCGGTGGCGTGGCGAAGAAGGGAGGGATTCCTGGAGGTAACCCGGACAGCCATATCCGCACGACCCGGTTACTGAGTGCCTGTCCATACTGGCACTGGAGAGATTTTCATGTTTTCCAGCTCCTGACAAGTTTGGCTGAATGCTCTAAGTGCTTCTTTGCGTTAATGCCCCCCTCCACAGAGGAGGAGAAAAGTAGAAATGGCTTGTAGAATAGGAATGTTAAGGATTGCTTCAGGCACAAACGCAAAATATTCCTAACCCCAGTCTTCCTACTATCTCCCCCTCCCAGTCCCACCCCGGGACGGGCAGGGTCCCTGGCAGGTTCCTGGAGGAGCCTGTTGTGCAAATGGCCCTCTTCCACTTAACCGCATCGAAATGCAAGCTTGGAGTCCCAGTACATCTGCCACCCCGCTGGGGTCTCCGGACAGTCTCAGAGTCTGGAAAGGTGTCAGAAGCAGATAGAGATGGATGTGGAGCGCCCCGCGCAGCGCGGGCCCCACGTCCTCGGCGGCCCGGAGCCAGCGGATGCGCGGCAGCTGGGGCTGCCACCTCCGGGCAAAGCTCGCATGCAGCTCACCTCCGGGGTCGCCGCGGCCCGGAGCCTCTGGTCTCCGCCTGCAGGCGTCAAGGGCAAGTTCGCGCCGCCGCCCAGCAGCCGAGTTACCGCCCAGAGCCGCGCGGCCGCCCTCGCCCGCCCCATCTCCCCGCCTCGCCTCTCCGGGCAGCTCCCGTTTCACCCAGAGGCCTCCCCTTCGCTACTACTGCCCCCTTCACCCCGCCCCGCTGTGGGCTGCTACCCCCACCCCCACTCCACACCTCGTTCAGTGTCCACACTCGCTAGCGACCCCCCTCCAGCCCCGCCCTCCGGCCACAACAGCGGCGGCCACGCGCTACATTTAGAGCCGTGACCACAGCGATTAGGAACCGGCTACCTACGATACTTGTGGGGAAGTGAAGTCAGATTTCTGCTGGCTGCCCCTTGTGCCTGAGGACCGAGTCCTCCGGGCGCAGACAGGTACGTGACTGAGCGTGTGTACACAGCATTGGCGATAAGTGTGTTAAAATAAATTTCCGTGTTTGCATCCCCCGTTCCGCCCGCAGGGCTCGCCGCGGTTAGTTTTTTTATCCCCCTTTGAAAACCAGTGAGCCTACTGATTTGCATTCAAGTTGCTCTATTTGTAAAACACACTCTCCGACCAGCACCACCGCCTCCCTCCACCCCAGACTTGCCCTCCGGGATGTAATGGCATGTTTTTCCTAGCGAAGCACTGGTGTGACCTGCAACCTCGGACCCTTCCCGGACCGCCCCAAGCGCACACCACCTCCAATACAGAGTCGGGGACTTTGGGGAACCAGGAGCGGCAGGAGCGATCTAAAGGTCCCAGAGTTCAGGCCTGCCACACGCGCGCCCTGGAGGCGTGTGAAAGTCGGCGTGCAGAGCAAGCAAACCCTCTCCCGGAGTCAGTCCCCACCGCCACTTCTAGGCCCCTGCTCTGGCTACTTACCCGATTCGCTCCGAGTGCCTCTGGGGAGCTCACTCCCTGAGGAACTACCCCGCCCAAAGCTTTAAGATCATTTCAAAGCAAAAGGGGGCGCGGTCAGGTGGGCTCCTATGCTTCTCGCTGACCCTCTGGCGCTATCCCCGCCGGACCTCGGAGGGAAAGTGGGGGCAGGGCGAGGAGATCCGAGGCACTCTGGGTTGAGGACAGGGGGGCGTGGGAGCGACGGGACCCTCTGGGCGCAGGAGCCCGGGGCGTGAACGCACCTGCGCGAGTACTGTACCTGTGGGGCGGGGCCGGCGGCGGGCGGGCGGCTGGCTCCCCAGGGTCTCAGCTAGGCGCACTCCCATCCCAGACTCATGTTCTCCGCGCGGGCTCCAGCGCGCTCACTGCCGCCACCGCCTTCGTCTCGGCTTTAATTACCCAGACGGGTGCGCGCGGCCCCGGAACAGGAATACCGAGGCCTTCTCATGTTTCCTGGCTGCCCAGCCCAGCCGGCGAACATCCTGCGGACGCAGTATTCACGTTCCCGGGACCGCGGAGAGGCAGCCTCCGCGCGCGCCCGGCTTCCAGGGAACCCCACGCCGAGGAGCCGCGGTTGCGGGCGCTGCAGGGGAGCTGCGGCCAGCCGAGCTCTCCCAATTCAAGCGTGGCTTCCAGCTCCAGGAATCTCCCAGAGGCAGAGCGGAAGAGTTACTTTCAAACCTAGAAGAGAGATTGGAGTAACATCTCTGAGCGCTCGGCTCTGGCTCCGGGAACCGAGAGGCTGTCGCGCAAACCCGGTGTCCCGACTGTCTGGCATGCGGGAGATATCACCACGCGTGGCCAGGCGGGTGAGGCCGCTGTAACGCGTCCTGCATTTCCCTATGATTAGCCAGAGAGAGTGAAGTTAGAGCCCCAGCGTTGTGTCTACAAGGTGTCTTCCATCACTGCTCATCCGAAGCTCTGGATGTCTTCTAGTCAAAGCTAAGCACATATTCACCTCCCAGGGTTAACTGTGGGCGTAGATGGGAGGTGAGAGAAGCACGGGGCGAGGTGCCCAACCTCCATAGCCCAGATTTGGAGGATTCAGCGAAGAGCCCGGGATACGCAAGTGGAAGAAGCCTCCAAAAATCCGGACCTGGAACATAGTGAAAGGAAAGAGAATGGATATTTGCTCCTCTTATTGATGATTGGCTCTCATTATTTCAAATACAAGAGTTGCAAAAGTTTGAGTTGCGGTACAGGGGGGAGCTCAGGCCCTTGTCGCTCGCCTCGCCACTAGCCCGCCCAGTTGCCCAAGGACAGCTTTAGATTTTAAGAGTGAAAATAGATTTTTCTCAGATCAGGATTTGTCCTTTTCTTCTTTAAAGGCAGCTAGCGGCACGGCGGTGACTTACCTAAAGTCTTTCTTTTATGTAGCTTGAAAGTGGTTAAAATATGCCCTATAACTAATATTCCAAACACCAATAACCTTACGAATTTTCAAATACGCTCAGAAAGCACGGGACAGCAAATGTGGGCTATGGCACAAGCGCAAGGAGAAAGGACAGAGGTTTACATCTTTGTGCACCAAGGAGATAAATAGTATTTGAACACTTTTCAGGATATTCTGGGGATTTTTTTAATTGCTTAGTTTAGGTTTGCAGCTCTTACAATTTAGTATGGCGCCACACGTGGCTTGTAGTGTTCAGCATAGACTTGGGTTAGTGAACCTTGCCTTAGCGACATGAAAGACAGGGTGAACCCTAAATATCTGCCACTGACTTCCAGCGAATGCACTTCATAACAAATGCAAACCTAGTGGAAAATTCTTAGAAGAGAAACGCTCTTCTGTGGCCTCTATGAGCGATATTGGTTAAATTATAGCAGAATCAATTGTAATAAGTGTCCCACTGACATAATTTTCGGTCTTCGAGGTAAAGCAGCAGCATGTCTATAGCTTGAAACTTCCCACTACGCTTCTGAGTTCTTGAACTTTTTGCTGTAGCTCACCAAATGCTAGAATAGGACAAATGAATTTTGTTTAGTTACATGTATATGATTTTTAGATGCATTCAGAGGACTTAGATTTAAGATATATTTGCATGTCATTGTTTCTTTGCAGTCTGGTTTAAAATATACAGCAAAACGTTTCTGCAAAGTATATCTTTGAAGTTGTGTAAGAATAATGGACACATTAGTAAATGTCAAGTTAGTTTATTGAAAAAAATGAATATCTAATAATTTCTGCAGACTATAGCTTACTATTAAGAATTAATTTTAAAACATAAGTCTGGAGAGCACCTCTCTAATAGCATGTTTTCTGCCACAGAATAAAATTTAAGTTATGTGAGTTTTATTTCCTATCCAAGAGAAACACTTATGTTTTTAAATCCACAGTTCAAATACTTTTATCCTTATATCACCTTTTCTAAAATGAATTTTATTCATCTTTTAGTGCTAGACTGCAATCTCAATATATAAAATTATGTGTTGCCATTATAATTTTTTTTTAAAAATCCACTTTTAGAAAGCACTATTAGAAAATTGAAGGAAGTGGAGATAGTTTGTAGGAGATGGTCATATAAAGGGAAAACCAAATGAAAACACAAGACAAAACTTGAGGCTAGAACGTCAAAAGGAATGAGCACTGAACGGAATGTTGGTTAATTGGACGCTTAGCCTGCCTTTGCTGAAGTGTGAAACAAGGATAATAGGTTTTCCACAAACTTGACTTACACTGTTAGCTAAGTCTTTTTTTCTTGAAAATAATGTGTTATTTCTTACATGTAAATAATGTGGTTTTTATAAATTAGAAAGATATTAAGAATGTTTGAGGAGGAAATAATATTCTTGTTTTCTTTTTGAAGTTAAAAATACTAATAGTCCTTTTTACTTTCTAGTAAAGAGAAAAAGGGGGAATTTCATTTTCAGCGTTGTAATGTTACCAAGGTGTTTTGCCATTTCAGAATAAACAATTATCAGTGTTTGTGGAAATGAGTGCTTTTCCACTTCCTTTCCCAGTTACTACTTATAAGCAGAGA